TAAGGTATATTCCTTAATTGAGGGTATTGCTTGGTTCCTGAGTAGCGCCTTTATAATAAGGGTACCCTTTTTCCTACTATTCGGTTTTAACAAGGGGGCCCTAAAATAAAGGGCAAAAGGGTACTACCCAGGGACCTAGATTTAAGGTATACTCCTTATTTCCATTATAGAACCCTGATAGAGACCCTTATAGATCCCTTTAAGGAACCCTATACTTTCCTTTAATTGAGGGTATTGGGTTCTCTGGGGGCCTAGAGTCGATTTAGGGCTCAGGGAGACTGGGCTTAGAACTCAGGGACTTGGGATTCAGTCTAGGAATTTCTTCAGGTGGGTAGCTACCGTTGTAGGAGCCGTATAGAAGGTCTATATACCTTCTAGAAGCCTTATAGAAGCCCTATATACCCTAAGCTCCCCACCTGTACTTTCCTTTAATTTAGGGCGTGGGATGAATCGGGCTTGCAGTTGGTTAACCTGGAGTTTAGGGCTTAGGAGTCAACACCTAAACGCTGAACCCTAACTGTCCCCTAACTGCCTTGATTCTCCCTTCAGTCACGCCTCTTCTAGAACACTCCGTTGAAGGAACACTTATGGGTACTATATAGTAGGGTATAGGGTTCTCTGTAAACCCTAAACCGTAGGGTTCTACTATAGGGTTCCCTTGAAGGACCCCAAGGGTCAGTGAATCTGAGATCTCCTAAAGGAACCCTGAAAGGACCCTTTATTGGGGTTTAGGGTTTAGGTTTTAGGATTTAGGGTTTACAGTTAAAGGTTTAGGGTTTAGGATTACAGTTTAGGGGTTAGTCTTGGCGAGACTGTAGGGCGGAAGAGCTCCTGTTCCTAGAGATCCCAATGCCCCCCGAGTTAAGGGACACACCTTACTTTTAGGGTTTAGCGTTTGGGGGTTTAGGGGTTTAGGGTTTAGGGTTTAGGGGATGAATAGTATGGCTTAAGGTCGACATTCCTTAATGGAAGCCTATCCTAGTACCCTTATAGCATAGCTACCCTTATATAGGAACCCTGCTATGATTTGAGCGTCTGTTCTTTAGATATGGGGTATTGGGCTCTCTGGGTTCAAAGGGGAGCAGTATCTGGAACCTAGCGGTTGCAGGGTCGAGGGCTTGGGGGGGGGGCCTAGTAAGTTGGTTTTATAAGTACCTTGCTTAGGGTTATAAGTAGATCTAGCTATACTTACCAAACCTGTTACCCTACTTCCTACGTCCCCCGATCCTTCGAAAGGCTTTTTTGAGCTCTAGGATGCAAGGTAATGCCTTTCTGCCGCTACTTGGCTGACTGCTGAGCCCCTCCAAAAAGTTGAACTTTTAGCCTACTTATTATAGGTCATATCGAAACCCAAAACCGTCCTAAGAGCCAACCAAAAGAACGCCAAGGTTACAGATTGAATATTTCGAAGACTGTGTTCGACAGGGGCTGCTTCTGTAGCTCCTGCAACTGCAGATATTGCCCTTGAGTACATTCAATGCTGGCCTGGCTGGCCTTGTTGCGTGCAGCCCTTTTCGACAAGCCTCGCCGGAAGCCATCAACTAATTTTCTCAACCAAAAACCCCAAACCCTGTACCCTAAACTGTAAACCCTAGACACCTAAACCCTAATACCCAAACCAGGACCCCGATCCCTAGCGGAAAACCTGAAACGATAAACCCGCAGCCCCAAACCCAACGCCCTGAGCTCTGCGCCTAACAGATGCAGCTGTCGGCGGCAACCTGTACGCCTCAGAGCTCAAGACATATCTATAGGGGCCCAAGTTATTCAACACACGTAAAAGTATTCGTACGACGATCAGTCTGGCATGCGTAACAACCCTAAACCCTAAACTCGAAACCCCCCAAACCCTAAACCCTAAGTAGAAGACTGCCATGTTCCTGATTGGGTGGAGGAGTGGCCATGTCGCGAAGAGCTACCCTGAAACGGTGCCACCTCGCCGTACAAGCACCAGGCCACCCTAAACCCTCTACGCCATCCTGGGCTGAACATGTGGGGCTATGTAAGTTTTGGTGATTTTGCTACAAGGTTGGGTTTAGGGTTTAGGGTTTAGGGGTTAAGGGCTTGGGGTTGCTATTCCACTCAACTACACCAGCAAGAAGCACCTGCAACGAAACGTTGGTTTAGGACAGCACCCGCTTGAGATGGCTGCTGTGACTGCTCCGACAAACACTGCAACACAGCCTGCACCGACTCATTAAATTCCGCTGGCAAATGCTGTGAGGTTGCTGCACACGCCCACACTTTGCGGAAGAGTAGCTTCTGACTCCGAACTTTTTGGGTTGATACCCTTCATCTGAGCGTGCTTCCAGAAACAAAGCACAATGACATAAAGCCTGTGCTACCCCTAAATCTTAAGAATGCCCTATCTGGAGCGAATAACTTAATAACGAGCAGTACTATCTCGCCCTCTGACTCATGAATGTCCACCTGCTACACCGTGAGAGTAAATCCTAAAACCTAAACACTAAGCCCTAAACCCTAAACTGACGCTTCTTGCAGGTGTCTCGCGCACTTGCTTCCATTCAGGCGAAGCTTTCGAAGGCCGATACTGGCAGGTTTCGAATTAGCCTATATCCTATTAGTAGATTATAGTACTCGCAAGGGAAAATAGTCTATATATTGTTAGTAGATTATAGAAGATTGTAGTATATCACGGTCGCAAGGGAAAATAGTCTGAACTCCTGCTCCAAGACCTCAGTTGCAGCCCCGCCAGAAGACTTCAGCAAAGCAAAGCATCGTAGGACAAACGCGGAGCATGGCTTGGCTGACTTCTGAACCCCTCGCAAAGAGTTAAACTTGCAGCCTACTTATTATAGTTCATATAGAAACCCAAAAAGCTTAAAGTCCTAAACCCTAAACCCCTAAACCCAAAAGTTAAAGTCCCAGGAGCCAACCAGAAGAACGCCAAGATGACGTGCACAGAAGTGCACTGCAGCATTTTTTTCCGACCCGGAGATCCCACCACCCCCTTTCTTTCGGAATCTACTCTTAAAGGAGTTTTCTTCAAGGGTACTTCTTTGATAGGGCTCCTTTAAGGACTCTACAGTAAATCATAGGGTCATAGGGTGCGTGATATTATGGTTTGAGGTATACTGCTTACTTAAGGGGTATTGGGATCTCTGGAGTTGACGCCTCAGTTGAAAGCGATTCCATTCACGGTGGCTTCATGGCTAAGCGCGCAGAGGCGCTCTCCAGACTCCACTTGCCAAACTGCGGCCGTACCGTCCTCAGATGCCGTTGCGACCACGGCTGCGGAAGGGTCGAAAGAAGCATCCAGCACGCCCCTGGAGTGCTTGAAGGTGTGTAGTTGTGCACCTGTCGCGACATCCCTAAACCCTAAGCCCTAAACCCTACACAAACCCTAAACCCTAAACCCTAAAACCCTAAAGCCCTAAACCCTAAACCTGCACCTGTCGCGACATCCCAGAGGCCGGCGGAGCCATCGGCGGAAGCCGTGACAACCCGACTGCCGCTGGGATCGAAGCTTACTCTATAGACCTTGGTTCCTGAGTAGCCCTTTATAATAAGTAAGGTCTCTTTGAGGGTAGTAAGGGGTTCTGTTCGGGGTCCCTTTAAGGATCCCTTTAAGGAGAGTAGCCCCTTTATAGTAAGGGTAGGGTTTAGGGTTTAGGGTTTCGGGGGTTCCTGAGTAGCCGCTTTATAATAAGGGTACCCTTTTTCCCTACTATTCGGTTTAAGAAAGGGCAAAAGGGTACTACTCAGGGACCTAGAGACGCGGTCCTTGTGCCGAAGAGTGGCAACCTCCTTGCCACTGGCGAGGTCCCAAACCTTCGCAGCATGCTCGTCACCGCCTGTGACTATGTGAGTGCCAGGTGCATTGAAGGCAGCGCTGAAGACCAAGTTGCTGTGCTTTGCAGTGAAAATCTTTGCACCGCTGACAACGTCCCAGACTATAGCGCTTTTGTCAAAGGAGGCTGTGACAACTCTGCTACCAGCTGCATCGAAGGTAGCATTCATGCACCTGTCACGGTGCTTCAGCTTCACAAGCCTGGCTCCCGCGGATACATCCCAAACACAAGCTGAACTATCACGGGAAGCAGTTACGAAACGGCTGCTCGACACTTCAAAAGAGGCGTTGTAAACTGCGTGGTCATGCCGAGCAGAAATTCTCTTCGACCCATTCGTAGCATCCCATACTGACGCGGTTTTGTCGTCTGAAGCTGTGACAAAAAGAGCGCCCGATGTGTCGAATGCCGCGGAATACACAGAATTGTCGTGTGCGACAGCAGCTAGCTCCTCCCCAGAAGCCGCATCCCAAACCTTCGCCGATCGATCTTGTGATGTCGTCACCACCGACATTCCCGATGGATCGAATGCAGCACTGTTCACTTCAAGATCATGGTCTAAGGTCGCGACCACCGCCCCGGTAGAAATGTCCCAAATGCAAGCCCTTCGGTCATTGGATGCTGTGACGACGAAGGTCGACCTCTCCATGAAGGCCCCAGAGGAGCCACTGCCCCAGAAACTACGGCTTGATGCACGTTGTTTTGGGTTTAAGGCTTTGGGGTTTAGGGTTCTAGGGTTTAGGGTTTCTAGGTTCCTGAGTAGCCCCTTTATAATAAGGGTACCCTTTTTCCTACTATTCGGTTTTAGTAAGGGGGCCCTAAAAAAGGGCAAAAGGGTACTACTCAGGGACCTAGGTTTAGGGCTTAGGGGTTTAGGGTTTTAGGCTGGATTCAAGATGGCTTTCTGCGGGCTCTTTGAGCTTGCTTAGTAAGGATTGCCCGTGGAGCTGAGAAAGCCTTTTGGACGAGTGGCTCTAGGATTTAAGGGCTTGAGGGCTTCGGTGGACGTAAGTAGCGATCTTACAGAGTTAGATGTATCCTGGCCCCAATTAGGATACCTTTTTGGGGTACTTAGAACTCTACTTGTTACATACGTACAAAGACCCCCATCCAACTAGGGCTACCATGGCACGAAGCAGTGCGCTGATGAGCAAGAGAACCAAAATGGCATAGGGGCTTACGGTTTTTTGGGAAACATGTGCCTAAGAGGATAACTCCTGGGTTCTTGTTAAAGGGTTAAGTTACCATAGTGCCTACAGTAACAGCATTAACTCCTGGGTTCTTGTTCAAGTAATGGGGATCTATGGTAAGTAGCAGGGTTTCCTTTATATGGTAACTAAACTTACATCCCCCAACAACATTGGGATCTATAGTAAGTAATAATGGGGATCTATAGTAAATAATAGGGCTTCCCTTTTTATGGTAGCTTAACTTACATCCCCTAACAACATTGGGATCTATAGTAAGTAATAATGGGGATCTATAGTGAATAATAGGGTTTCCTTTTTTATGGTAGCTTAACTTACATCCCCTAACAAAAACGGGATCTATAGTAAATACTGGGGTTTCCTTTTTTTATGGCAGCTTAACTTAAGTCCCCTAACACGAACCCAGACTCTCGTGAGCAAGCCGGTGTTAGCCTGAGCCCGACAAACCGGAGAGCCTTGGAATGCTGGTACTATATGGGGGTTTCCGAAAATAGGGGGACCCTAATATAGTACCCTGAATAGTAGGATCCTTATTATAAGGGCCCCAAAGGAAGGTACCCCTTATTTACGGAAACTCCCATATGATGATATAAGTCCTGCATGACCCATAATAAGGAATAGACCATAATTCCCCTAGTTTTAGGGTCCCTAAGGTAAGGCTAAGGAATTCCATCATCAACCGTTTTGGTAGAGTCCTAAACCCTAAACCCTAACCCCTAAACCCTACACCCCTACACCCTAAACCCTAAACCACCCTGGGTACCTCTTAGGGTCCCTGTGTAGAAGGGCGAGTAGAACTATCTGGAGATTAGACCTTAAAGCCTAAGCCCTAAACTCTGGAGCTTAAACTTCAAAGCCTAAACCCTAAAGCCCCTAAAGCCCTAAAGCCTAAACCCCTAAAGCCCCTAAAGCCTAAGCCCTAAACTCTGGAGCTTAAACTTCACACCCTAAACCCTAAAGCCCCTAAAGCCCTAAACCCTAAACCCCTAAAACCTAAAGCCCCTAAAGCCCCTAAAGCCTAAACCCTAAGTTCTGGAACTTACACTTCACACCCTAAACCCTAAAGCCCCTAAAACCCTAAACCCTAAAGCACCTAAAGCCCTGCAGCATGAAGGACCCCAGGGTTCTCCACTCTGAGGCCTAGGGGCTCAGTACCCTATAGTAGCCCTTTATAATAAGGTCTCTTTGAGGGTAGTAAGGGGTTCTGTTCGGGGTCCCTTTAAGGATCCCTTTAAGGAGGGTAGCCCCTTTGTAGTAAGGGTAGGGTTTAGGGTTTAGGGTTTAGGGTTTTAGGGTTTAGGGTTTTGGGTTTAGGGAGCCCCCAAAAGAGGTTAGCCTTTTGATTATAGTAGGAATATATAAGTCCCAAAAAGGTCAACCTTTTGATTGTAGTAGGAATATATAAGCCCAACAAGGTCAGCCTTATTGATTATAGTAGGAATATATAAGCCCAAAAAAGGTTAACCTTCTGATTCTAGTAGGAATATATAAGCCCAACAAAGGTTAACCTTCTGATTGTAGTAGGATTATAAAGGCCCGAAAAAGGTTAAAGGTTACCAACTCAGCCCCTAACCCTAAACCCTAAACCCCTAAAACCCCTAAAACCCCCTAAAACCCCTAAACCCTAAACCCCTAAAACCCCTAAAACCCCTAAACCCTAAAGGTTACCTACTCAGCCCCTTAGCTGAGGCAATTGGAACCTGCCAATAGCAAAAGCAGGGATTCCAGCTGCCTAGGTTTAGGGTTTAAGTTTAGGGTCGGGTTTAGGGTTTAGGGGTTGGGGTTTAGGGTTTAGGGGCCAAAAGCAAGGATTCCAGCTGCCTAGGTTTAGGGTTTAGGGTTGGGTTTCGGGGCCAAAAGCAAGGATTCCAGCTGCCTATGGTTGAGTTTGCCCAGGGAACTCGAAGGCAACAACGAGACACACGGATACTGCTGGGAAAGTAGGAATTATACACCAAATGAGAACTGAATGCGGTTTGGGGGCAGATCCCCTAAACCCTAAACCCTAAACCCATAGCAGAGGTATGTAAGGAAGCAAAACGGTTGATACTGCTCATCCTGGCGACCCCTCCATGAAAAGCCTGATGGGGTCAATTAAAACCCATGTAAAACCAGTGAAACCTTTCTTAGGGGCTGAGTACCCTATCCCAAAACAGGTTAAGCTTCTCCTTATAGCAGATCTATAAAAGCCCCAAAACAGGTTAAAGAGTACTAACTCAGCCCCTTAGCTTTTTAAGGGCTTCTACAAGCCCAAAGGATCCCCAAACCAAAATACACGATCCTAAACCCCAAGCCCCACACCCCCAAAGCCCTAACCTAAATCCGAAACCCCATAAGCCCTATGAGCCTGAAAACCCTTATAGCAAACCTTAAAGGAGCCCTTTAAAGGGCCCCTATTATAGAACACTATGGTAACCTTAGCAACCCTTTAAAGGAGCCACCTTCAACTCCTGAGTTAGCCACGCCAGACTCACCCAGGCACCTGCAGCGCAGCGCATGCTGCCATGCACATACAGACACGTACCTACACACTTGTGTTCATGGCCATGAAGTTGATTCTACAAACGATGCTGGACTGGAGAAATGTCTTCCCTGGAAGGCCAGGTTTAGTTTAGGGTTTAGAGTTCAGGATTTATGAGAAGGTATGCTTACATAGCTGCCTGGGTCCTACAGCTTCCCTTCAATACCAGTGGCGCATTTCGTCTTGTCATGTACGCTTTATGGAGAGGCCACCAAATAAAAGAGGCAGAATGCTCTCACTGGCGGACTCAGCTACTACAGATAAAGGGTGTCTCTGGGCAGGGCAGCGATATCTGACATGAGCTCCAGTTTTCTGCAAAGGCCGTTTCCGGTGCCGGATCTGGCACCAGAGACAGCATGACTGAGGAGTTAGAGCAGTCAGCGTTTTCTGTACAGGCTGCTGAGTCGTCGTGCTGTCAAACAGCCAGAAACCGGGATCGAGAGCTTCGAGCACACCGGTCTTGGAACGTGAGCACTTTATCTACTTCGTCAGCGCCGGGAGCGTTTCGAGCTACCTCTTCGGCAACTTCGGCGATCTTACCTGTGCAATGACGGGCCCGGTTAGGGCCCATAGGGTGTAGAGCACCCTAAGCCCTGAACCTTTCTAATCCCTAAACCCTTTAGCCCCTAAGCCCTAAACCCGTTAGAGTACCTCAAACCTGCCTGTGCAATGAGGATGCTGCTGTTGTTCTGATTCCCAAAGATGCACACACTCGGGGCTTGAATGGCATGTCCTGGGCTCCAGTTGAGGGTCTAGGGTTCGGTGAAAGGGGAACCATTTGTGGTTTAGGGGTGTAGGGGTTTAGGATTTAGGAAATAGGGGCCATAGAACTGTAACAGATGATCGCGTGGACAACATGTGATTGGTGCTACATCCCTGTTCTGGCACTTCAACCTTTGGTGAGTGCTGTATTCCCCCCGACAAAAGACACGAATGGATACCACCTTCTAAAAACATGCATCGTGGCAACGCACATTCACTTCCTTAAACTTGAGCCTAGCTTCGGGGGCCTGGAGCTAGCGGGCCTGATGCCTGCATCCACAAGGGTGAAGTCGCTGTAGCAGGACGGACTGTCGAGGTGTAATCTCGCACGCTGCTCCTGGCAGTAGAAGTCCTGTCCTGGTTCTTTCCTGGGCTCCAAGTGGGTTTAGGGCTTAGCGGGGTCTAGGGGGTTTAAGGTAGCGCTGTTCGGGGGTTGGTAGGCCGGCAAAGTCTCATAAGGGTCCTACGCGCGTTGAAGGGACGGAATCTATATTTCTTGTGATATGGGCTGTCTAATAAGTCATATGCTCTGCTTGCTGTGATAAAATATGAGTTCATCCCTAAACCCTAACCCCTAAGCCATAATCATAAGAACAGCCCAGTTTCAGGCAGTAGGTTTCAGCCAACATGGACATCTGGCTCTGCAGGTAGGGGAGAAGCATCTCCGCGCACTCCTTGGCTCTGGGAACCCCTTACCTTCACCACACTTCGCATAAAGAGCTCCTGAGTCCATAAGCTCAAAGAAGTGTACACTTTCAGCTTTAATAAGGGAGTATATTATCCGCAAAAAGTTTAAAGTGCAGCCATTCAGCTACTAAGGCCATAAAGAGCTTCGGAGATTTACTATGATTGCTAAGACTATTGTCATACATGTAAGTATTATTACTAACCGTTACTATGATTTACGTTTATCACACCAACAAACAAGCCATCCGAAGTCATGAAACGCATGTGTCATGTCCCCGCTCGAACATTCCTGCAGCTAAAGCCCTCAGCTTTAGGTTGTGAGCTTCTTCAACAGACCTAGTCCTTTAAGTCAGGCTCCCTTTCAATGTGTTCCTTCAAGGGATCTAGAGGGTTTCTATAAGGGTACATTGAGGGTTAAACATGGGTACTGCTTTAAGTCATAGTAGGACTATAAGGACTATTGTGGGTAATTCTGAATCCGACCCCTATATGGGTAGTGCTTTGATTAGGGTCCCTTATTTTTGTCACTAAAATGGCACGGAACCCTTATAGACGGACCCTAAGTTGGAGAACTACTCGCTTGGTCAGCAATAGGGAGACCCTCTTGCATTCGGGTGGTTTTGGCTGTTCTTGTTGGAAAAGCGCGGTACTGGTCCAAGGGCCCGAGGTGAACCTGAACTAGCGAAATACTGCCGATGGACGAACTCTTGCATTTTGCCAATGTACCCTGGACTATGGATGGACCTTGTGGTGCAGTTTTTTCCTCGTTTGGCTTCCCCAGCATGCTGCACTGTACCCTGAACCCCAAATCCCAAATCACCCTTATCCCTGAACCCTCAACATCTAAGCCACCCTAGCGTGTTTCTGGGATAGAACGAGGCACTCGAAAGGATGGCTTTCTGTACGTAACTATTTCGGATCCCAAGGGACCTGGAAAGCCCTTTCTCTCTTCTTCAACAACCTGGATCTAGGCCTAGGGCCTAGGGTGTTTGTAGGGTTTGGCGTTCACGGTTTGGCCCAAAAAAGTTCATTTTTATTGGGGGTAGACCTAAGATATAACGGCCAACAAGTTTAGAGTTCTCCCGTTGGCTATCTAAGCCTTAGAGATAAGAGGATCAGTAACCAGAGGTCTGCATTATTACTTGACTCGCAAGGCCTACACCCCCAGACCCCCAAGTATGCGGCCTGAATAACTAAAGCAGGGTTTTTGGAGGTAGGTTAAACCGCAATGGATAAGGATTCTATATTATGGGGATACTGTTATTCACTGCCTTGGTTCCTGAGTAGCCCCTTTATAAGAAGGGTACCCTTTTTCCTACTTTTCGGTTTTAGTAAGGGGGCCCTAAAAAAAAAAGGGCAAAAGGGTACTACTCAGGGACCTAGTACTGTTATTCACCGCTCAGATCCCCCTTTTTCAAAGCTCTTACCTGCCTCGGTGCTTCCGAGGCTCGTCCGCGCCGATGGGCAAGAAGCCCGCGCTGCCCGCAGTGCAGAGGGAGTGAGCCTTGGCTTAGGGTTTAGGGTTTAGGGCAGAGCCCCCCCCCGAACAGTTAAATTTGTAGCCTACGTATTATAGGTCATATCGAAACCCAAAAAGTTAAAGTCCTAAGAGCCAACCAGAAGAACGCCAGGGAGCGTAGCAGGTTGCATAAGACATAAAGAAGTGCCCGTAATCGAAGCCTTCACCTGAGGTCACTGGCTATAGTTCGTGGAAAGGGAAAGCAGCTAAAGCACAGAGGCCTTAAGCCCCAAGCCCTAAACCCTAATTCTACGCCCTCAAACGCGAATCCTCGAAACCTACCGTGCCGACCCCTTGGATACCACAGGCACATTGGTGGCCGCATGCCTCGTGCATGCTTGCCCGGGTGGTTCCTGCCACAGCTTCCAGCGCCTTGAGGGTTACCGTGAAGCTAACGGGCCTGAATAATTAGAATAGGTTTCCCTGGACCTTTTATAGTATAATAATAATAGTAAATTAATAATAATGATAATAATAATAATGGGGATAAGGAGCCCTAACAAATTCTGGTGATGATAAGCCTTTGGGAGTACATGGGACGTTATAGGGATTCTAGTACCCCCAAAAAAGTTAAAGGCTACCTACTCTACTACTGGGGGAAAGAAGGGGAGACTACTGTTGATGATATAAATCCTGCGTTATTGCGATGTGGGCCTTATTTGGGTGATGCAGGAAATATATCATCAACCGTAGGTGCCTTACTGCTTACTGCTTGAAACAAGGCTTTGGGGTAGATCACAGTAGAAAGATCTTATGGAACCTTGAGGAAAAGTCTTGGTCATTTTTCCGGCCCCGAGACTTGGCTGACTTCTGAACCCTTCCAAAAAGCTAAACTTTCAGCCTCCTTATTATATGTCATATTGAAACCCAAAAAGTTAAAGTCCTAAGAGCCAACCAGAAGAACACTAAGGAGAGTCGCGCAAACCGTTAAGGTTGGGTAGGGCGTCGTTGGCTTTGAGCTTAGTCGCTTGAGCCGCTCTAAACCCTGAGCCTGTAAACCCCAAATCCCGAATCCCTAAAACTCCAAAACCCCTAAACAACCCCAAAATCCCTAAACCCCTATAGATCTGGTTAAGGGAACCCTTATAGATCCCTTTAAAGGAACCGTTATGGGATCCCTTTAAAGCTGAGCGAGGGGGTTCGTCGAGACTCTTCTGGGCTCTTCACGAGGAACTGAACTTCAGCTACCAAAAAACGGAAACCCTGCTTGAACCCTAGGTTTGTTTAGGGTTTAAGGTTTAGGTCTTGTTAGGGTTTAGGGTTTAAGTTATTTTAGGGTTTAGGGTTTAGGTTTTGTTAGGGTTTAGGGCCTTTAGGGTTTAGGGCTTTTTAGGGTTTAGGGTTTAGCTTGAGTTAAGTTCCTGAGCAAGACCGGCTTTGTCGGGTCGGATCAGAACCTGGGGGATCTAGCCTCGCTTCGACTGTCCCATCCAGGCCCCCACCATAGCTCTCACAATACACCTTCTTTACGGGAGCCTATGAAATATGTGCCTTATTTTGTGGAATGCTGCCTAAACACTAAATGCACGCCGTAGAGCCCCAAACTCCTTCATCCGAAAGCCGGAACACCAAAGTCCGAAACTGCTTCACCCTAGACCCCTCAACCCTCAACTCCTAAAGCCCATCCACCCCAAACGCGTAAATTCCGGAACGGCCCCAAACCTTAGAAAACCCTGTGCGCTTTCATTCAACTTCCCTAAAAAACCTAAACTCCTTCACCTCGAAGCCCCGCGTAAACGCAGGCTTCCTAAAAGAAGTCCCCCCCCTCCAAAAAAAAAAACCAAAGGAGCCCTAAAGCCCTGATCGTGAACCCTCATTTCACTTCCGAACTCTTTTAAATAGAACTCTTATCGTACCCCTAAAGGAATCCTGACCGGAGCTCCAAAACCCTAACATCCTAAACCATCAACACCCCTTGACCACCCAACCTGTAAAGGAACCCTTGGAACTTTATGGGTTCCGGGGTTACTTCTAGGAGGCTTCAAAACCCTTATAGAGCTACGGTTGAGGATGTAAATCCTGCATTACACATAATATAGAATATACCCAAATTCCCATAGTTTAGGGCGCTTAAGGTAATGCAGGATTTGTATCATCAACAGTATATATAACAATAATATTAATATGAATATTAATAATAATAACAATAATAATAATAATAACAATAATAACAATAATAATAGTAATAATAATCATAACAACAACAATAATAATAATATTAATAAATAATAATAAAAAAAATAATAATATTTTTAATTCTTGGAGTTCCCAGCGAGCCTTCTGCTTCATGGCTTGCCCGGGTCCTGATTGCGCCAACTTCTCGAGCCAGGTATACTTGGTGAAGCCCGGACTGGCGAGTTGATCCTAGGCTTTGGGTTTTTGGAGTTTAGGGGTTTAGGGGTTTAGGGATTAGGGGTTTAGGGTTTAGGGCTTCGGATTTTGGGGCTTTAGAGCAATAAGAGCTATGGGGAATGTAGGGGTGATCATTCGTTCCCAATAGTACCTGTGCGGGTTTGGGCGAGTTGATCAGGCTCAGGGCTATGGGGTTTTACGGTTTAGGGCTTAATGCTCCCAATAGAAAGTTTAGGCGAGTGGGCGCTAATTTTTTGGGCTTTAAGGGTTGATGGTACTACTAAGTTCCCAGTACCCCCTTTCGGTCAGGGTTCTATAAGGGGTTACAAAAGCGGCAAAACGGGACTGCTGGAAGACCGGCCCAGAATCCAAGATATACCTGGGCTCTTCTTGCAAATCGTGATTTTCGTTTTTTAGATGTGAGAGGTTCAAGGGATTTAGCAAATAGGGTTCTGCGAACAATAACTATGGCTATCTCTACTTCTGACCTTACTTACGGTACCTATAGACCTATGTACTAAGTCCCCTGAACCTTTAAGACTTGATAGTATAATCTACCCCCAAGCCCTATTCGAATTCTTCAGGCCCCTATATTATCAGGGTTTCTCGAAAGTTTGTTAGGGTTTGAGGATTTAGCGGTTTAAGTAGGGTGCTTTGAAGGTTTCCTCCAAAGGGATCCATAAGGGTTCTACAAGGGGGGTAGGATTGCGTGAAGGATCCAATCTAGTACGCAAGAAAATAAGTAAGGTAACTATACGTACATACATCTACTTATACCCCTAGTTAAGCTACATGCTCTAAGTACTCGTGCTGGAAGACCCTCCTGGGTAATGAACCACCAGTTTCTTGACGGGTCCCAATATTAGGATCGGGACGCTAAAAAATGCTTTGAAGTGCAAGGGGTTGACTAGTCAGGGGTCTGCATTTGTGTTACCACGCTGTTTGTAGAACTTGCCTTAAGGACCAAATGACCCTTAAAAGTTGGGGTCCTATACTATTATACTATGAACCCTTTGTATGGTATATGAGCCCTAAACCCTTTTAGGGTTCTTTTCGTCCTTAAGGTATTCAATCTAGGACATTTTCAGGTGGGTAGTTACCGCTATAGGAGCCTTACAGAAGGTCTATATACCTTATAGTTGCCTGATAGAAGCCCTTTATACCCTAAACTCCCCACCTGCAGTTCCCTTTAATAAAACCCCAAACCCAAAAAACCCTAAACCCCAGACCCTAAACCCTAAACCCGAAATCCCAAACCCTAAACCCCAAACCCTAAATTCAAGAGGAGACCCAGGCACCAAGATGAGTAAGCAGCCATCAGCTCAAATTGGCTGGTCGCTTGGCACTTCTCCTCCAAGCTCACCATCAGCTGGATAACCCTGGTTTAGGGTTTAGGGGGTTGTTGCTAAGATCTTGCGTTTACGTTCCCCAAAATCAATATGCCCATTATTTACACTATTGCACAAGACATCCCTTTTTGTCACAACTCTTTCCAAATGCCTACAAATCAGATAAAACCATATGAAACCATCAAAGCTCCTAACAAGAACCCAGTAACCGAAGTGCAAGCCTCTCTTGCCTTCGCCGCTTCTTTCCAACCGGAACTGTCAAGGATACTTCCAGAGGCAAGGAAAAGCATGCTGGCCAGTTCTAGCGCAACTGCCGGTCGAATAGCATGCTGCATGAAATCCAGAACGAGTTGTCCAGCTGCTCCGGCAATGTCAGACCCCAGCAGCACCCCTTGAGCCAGCAGTGCAGTGTGAGTTGAGTTCTTGAATTAGGATCTGATCGATCGCCAGACCCATGTGGCACCCAAACTCTCTTCCCCCAAATGGGTATCGTAGAAACCTTAGAGTCTGAGTACCCTAGCCCAAAAAAAGTTAACCTTTTGATTATAGTAGGATTATACAAGCCCCAAAAAGGTTAAAGGTTACCTACTCAGCCCCTGACCCTAAACCCTAAACCCCAGTAGGATTCTATAAGCCCCCCAATAGGTTAAAGGTTACCTACTCAGCCCTTAGAGAAACTGTGTGTAGCCAACATGAAAGAGAGTCGACTCCGTGGCTCCCTCCCACACCCAAAACAGGAAAACGGGTTTAGGGTTTAGGGTTGGTTTGGGGTTTGGGGTTTGAGGTTTGGGGTTTAGGGTTTAGGGTTGGTTTGGGGTTTGGGGTTTGAGGTCTGCATCACCAACTTGCTGACCTTCGAAGGCATAGCCTACCACACGCCTCTCTAAACCATTCTCCCCCCACCCCCCCAACCTTTAAACCCTACGGTTGATGATATAAAGCCTGCATTTCCCATAATAAGGAATATGCCATAATTCCCATAGTTTAGGGTCCTTAGGGTAATGCTAAGGATTGATATCATCAACCCTGGAAACCTTCTGAGACCTTAAACCTGAAAGCTCCCAACCCTGAACCTTCCAGAGCTTAAGCCTGCTTGTAATTAAAAGCAGCTTAGGTTTAGGGTTTAGGGTTTAGGCTTTTAAACAAAAACAGTTTGTTTTTAATCTAAACAGCTTGCTTTTAAGTAAAACCCATTTGCTTAGGGCCTAGGGACTGAGTACCCTAGCCCCGAAAAGTTTAACCTTTTGAGTATAGTAGGATTGTAAAGGCTCCAAAAAGGTTAGAGGTTACCTACTCAGCCCCTTAGTTTGTCTTTAATTAAAAACAGTCTTTCATTTAAACGTAAAGCCTTGGATCCTGAGTAGCCCCTTCATAATAAGGGTACTCTTTTTCCTACTGTTCGGTTTTAGTAAGCGGGCCCTAAAATAAAAAGGGCAAAAGGGTACTGCTCAGGGACCTCGAAGCCGTAGAATTCAAGGGAGCCAACCCTAAACCCTAAACCCTAAACCCAGTCTTTTTCATCAAAAGCAAAGCCGATACCCCAAGCTTGCCTCTCGGCCCTGTGGAGAGCCTGGCTGAAGCGGAGCGTGGCAGTGTAAGGAATCCTTTTAAAATAGCATAGGTAACCATAAAGGCTCCTATAGCAAACCCTAAATAAACCCTAAACCCAACAGAATATGGCGTTTGTGGCTTGGATTTTGATGTTTTTATTTGCGGTTTGGGCTGGGCGTAGGCTTCAGAGCCTTGGATATATTGTTTACAGCCCTTTTGTTTCAAGTGTACTTGGGATGGAGGCTCGGTGTATTCATCAGCCAGTTTTTTCGGCGCATAACCGGTGTGCCAGTTTACTAGACCTAGACCGAGGGCATAGGATTGTATTCTTTCAGATTGTTTTCTTTCAGTCAATGTAATGTGGACGCTTGATGAATAACCCGCAACCTTCAGCAAAGATTGAAACGGGGATTCTATTCAATGTGCAGAAAGACTGGGGAGTTTAGGATGTGAATCCCGGGCCTACATTGCAAGGTTGTGCTTCAAATCCCCGAAGCCTAACTCCCTGAGTCCTTCGCTATTATATATATATATACACCACCACATACATGCACATATATATATATATATCTATATCTATATCTATATCTATATATACATATATACATGCATTCACGTACATACAGGTACATAGACATACATATATGTATCTCTTTGCATATATGTATAGAGACACGGCAGTAACAAACCGCATTACGGGTACGATCTAGAGAGACGCCAATTTATCAACGGTTCCTGCTTCGCTACAAAACTCTGCAAGCCCTCAACGCCAAAAAACCTCCTTACTACAGAACCCTTAGAATAACCTTTTAAAAGAGCTGTTCCTTATAGAACCTTTAGAGTAACCATTTCAAAGTGCTGTTCCTTATAGAACCCCTAGAGTAACGCCTTAAAAGAGCTGTTCTTTATAGAACCCTTAGAGTAACCCTTTCAAAGAGCTGTTCCTTATGGAACCCTTAGAGTGACTCTTTAAACATTTCTGTTCCTTATAGAACCCTTAGAGTAACCCCTTAAAAGAGCTGTTCCTTATAGAACCCCTTAGAGTAAGCCCTCAAAAAAGCTGCTCTAACTGTTGATGATATACTGTAAATCCTGCATTATCTTAAAAACCCTAAACTATGGGAACTCTGGTATATTCCTTATTATGGGTAATGCAGGATTTATATATTATCAACCGAGTTACATCCTAAACCCTAAACCGAATTACTTTAAAAAGTTCCCTCATGTCAAGTTTATCTGCTGCGGCCTGAAGAGCTCAAGGGTCTGCTGAGTCAGCGGCCCACCTGATCGTTGAGGTCCCTTTTCTTAGGGGCTGAGTACCCTGGCCCAAAAAGGTTAAACCTTTTGACTATAGCAGGATTATAAAAAGCACCAAACAGGGTAAAGTTTACCTACTCAGCCCCTTAGTTCTTGTAAATAAGCGCTTAGGGTTCAAGGTTTAGGGTGATCATCAAGGTCCTTAAAAAAAACACAAGGTTTCTTGTGCAGAGACGCCAAAACCCCTTGATTACGGAATTTGCCTTAAATATCCTTAAACCATAGAAAGGCTTACGTATAATTCAAGGTTTACTCCTTGATTCAAGGGGATGTGGACTCACCTAGGAACCCTTTAAAGGGATTTTACTGAATGAAGCGGTTTCTGAGTTTCTGGGTTCATAAGCCCCAAAAAGTGTACACCTTCAGTTTTGTAAGGGGTTATGTAAGCCCAACAAGTTTATAAAGTGCAGCCATTCAACTAGGAAGGGGAGCCCGAAAACCCTAAACCCTAAACCCCTAAACTCCTAAACCCTAAACCCCTCAACTCCTAAAATCCTAAACCCCTCAACTCCTGAACCCCAAACCCCTAAACCCGCCTAAACCCTAGAAGCCCTGAGCCAAAAGCGGGTCTTGCAGGCCCTGGTAGCATCCCTAACCCCTAAACCCTAAACCCTGAACCCTCAACTCCTAAACCCAAAGCCCTGCACCCTAACCCCCTAAACCCAAAGCGGTTTTTGGAGGCCCTGGTAGCATCCCGGAGTTCGGAACCTCGTGACTTTGGAGCCCGCGAGGCTCGGAACCCACAGAGCCGAATATCCTTAAGTAAGGAATAGACCTTAAGCTCTAGGGTTCCTT